ATGGGGGAAGCTGAAGTCAAAGATTTAGGGCTAATGATAAATATCATAAAGCCTGCCATTTGAAATAAATAAATAAAAAAGCGATCCATGTGATTGCAGTACTAATAATGCATACCACCGTATCCATAATTTGAAATTAAATTAGACTATAATACTATTGTCGAAAATACGCAACTTCTTATTGATATCATTAGAGAAATATTAAGCAGAAAGTGAAGAGGAGGAATTCATCTGTTCGATGACGGTTCTACCTCAAACAGATAATAAACATGAAACACTATTTTCAGAACAAGTATTAGGCTTTCGTTCATTGAATCATCATACCATTCATCTTGACAACTCATTGGTTCTTTTGAAACCGTGGTGGAAGAAAAAGAAAGCTTTGGTGAGAAAGTCAGTTTTGAACATGGCGGTCATTTCGAACTTTGACAATACGATGAGATGGGTTCTCACACGAACGCTGCGAAGAATACTGGCACATCTAATTATCGATTCACATTATTGGAAGTTAACTATAACCTATAGCAGTGCATAAAGACCCTTGGTAAATATTCGTATGATGTGAAAAGAAACTCATTCCTTTAATACCAGGATATTAAAAGAGAAACGGAGAGCCACTGATTTCTCCAATAGAAAGGTCTCTTACTAATCATATTTGGAATGACATATTGGAAAAAGAAATATACGTATATAACAATTCCCGGTTCAAAATTGTGCATGTCAATGTTGTGCTCAGATCAAGCACATATTTCGCCTTGATTAATAAAATTCTATAGAAGGAAACAAAAAAAGCTTAATTAATGTTATGTCTCCTAGTGTTCGAAATTCTAAAACACCAGGCGACAATTTATTAATGTCAAAACGAAAACATATGCCCGCTACTTATAGCTAATAAGTAAGAGTATATACAATAGGTACTAATTTCAATACATCCTCAAGTATATTCATAAGAAAAATTTTAATTCTCAAGTGCCTATTCCAAAAAAGTTACAAAAGACGCTTTCCGTGGTAACCACACCAAAAGGAGCAGAATCCAATTGTTGTTTCAAAAGGGAAACCGAACAATCAGAAGGAGGTGGGAAGTCCATGTATTGTGGGAGATTATGCGTTGATTCTGATGTTGAAATGGCATCATAACTGGGAGGAGGAGCCATCCAGCCATCTGAAGTTCGCATATGACTTCGATCGGAAGCGAAATACCGAAGATACATCTCCCCATCGATAATCCGAAAGAAACTAAACAACGCTACTAATTGTTAATAACTAGAACATCACTATAGAAGTTCATTTTGATGAAGAAACAAACCGATGGTATTCTCCTCTGTAAAAGGAATTAGGCCTAATAGCTAGCGACCAATACGCAGATGCATCACAAGGGAAATCCAGTGTCGTATCAAGATCACAAATGTGGAATTTGACGTCGCCGTTGAATCGAAGAATGACAATGACATGATAATCCTGTGAAAATACCAAAATAAATAAAAATATAATTACCCAAACTGCTACACCATCAGGAGAACGGCCGCATTTTTGGTAGAATAGCGGAACTTTTCTGAAAAAGAAAAAATGTTAACAAAGTAAACTCACTTTGAATGGTTAGATATGAAAACCGCATAGATCTCGGTCGAACTATAGTTCCTTTTTATCAATTCAATGAGTTTGTACACGTTTTCTTCACTTAATTGAACAAACATTGGTAAAATAAAAATAGACGAACCAATAATGAGATGTGTAAACACACTGATCTCGAGATATTTGTAAGCTCATTACCTACGAAGAGAAAGCTAAAAATTATGTCGATTATAAGGGCAAAAATGACTACCTGCCAAATAGTACAAAGCAATAATTACTGATTAATTGAAAGGCCAAGATGAACTATCGAAAATGACAAATATACTGACGATAGAGGAGAATAAGCCATTTTACTAGCAAAAAACTCCAACTGACAACTTAAGCAGACAGCAGCAAACGATTTTTCTTACACAACCACACAAAACAAGAAAAGAAAAAAGTTGAAGGTATATGTTTATGGGTTCAAAAATCAGAAAACAAAGTGAAAGAAAGTAATTTAGGAAAATGAAAAGTCGAAAAATCGTCAAACGTGGCATAGGCTATTCGGTTCATCCATTCTCTTTAATTGTAACTCAAATGATAAGCAAATAAAAGCAGACTGACACACAAGAAGTGATTGAATATGCCCATAAAAAGAATGTTTTAAAATTGTAAAAAGGACCAATTTTACTGGAAATCTACACTATTCACCTTAAGGCGGGATTGGTGCAGTCAAAAAGGATGAAAACCATTTAGACACGAGTAATTTTTCCATCATATTTTGCCGATGAATCGACACTGGAGGATATCAAGAAAGCTGAGTAACCGTTTGTGCCCTTAAAGCATCCGCTTACAAGCAAAATAAAGGTCTTCAATGGAAAATAAGCCCTGTCTTCACTACGTTACTTAAAAGAAAGCTCAGTTAGATATTTCGTCTGCTCCAATGGAACATCTTACGTTGAAGTAAAATAATCAATCACTTTCGAGAAGTCAAGTCAAAATATTAAAATTAATTTTGAAAACGTTGAGTTTGAGTTAATATTTAAGTTAGAACCTTAGAAACTTAGAAAAGCTTGAATAAAAGAGTATAAATACTTACAAATATAATAAAATAAAGCGTTAATTAACAAAATTTAATTTTTTATTTATCTAATTTTATGAAAATTAAATGACCTTGATATAAGAAATGACGCCCCGCGGCAAGTGAGTTCCAAGATCAAACATTCCTCAATATTGCTTGAATGTGTAGATCTCTCCATAAAAGTAGACGAAGTGGAAAAGATTTTTTAAGTGCGCAAACCAATTTTATCCAATATTTAGCAAGCATGTAGCTTGAAATTGAGTTTTTTCATTGTGCATATGATCGATTTTCTTTATTTTGGCACTTTGGGCACTTTTTGGGTTTCATATTGGCTGAATTTATTTAAAGTAGAATATGGCATCGTAGTTAATTTTGGTTAGTGTAAACGCTGAGCACATAAGAACACGGTTTTCCCTTTAAATTACTCTTAGCTTAATAAATTTCAAGTTAATAATCTGATTGGGATTTAACATTAAAATTTCAAATGTAATTTATTTAATTTTAGAATGAATGCGCAAACAGTTCGTCCTAAAACAGGCTCAAATCTTTCACATACAATAGCCCAGAAGCATGATTGGCCTAAAGGAAATGTACCTGTTGATTCAAGCGACTTCAAGAAGTGGGTCTTTATAAACCACAATAATGTAAAATTTAGGGAAATGCTTGATACCTATGGTATCTCCAAGTCATTAGAGGCAGAGTATATAAGAAGTCTTCATAAGCAAATATATTTATTGGAACTTGAAAACAAATACCTTCGAAATGAAGCAGAAAATGTTACCACTGCTTCAGCCAAGCCAAAAGAAGGCGAACAAAAGGCAGATGTTTTAGAAATTGTTGAAATAATGACTACTTAAATGTTATTAATTAACAAAGCTATTTGATTTCAGAAAATGACGGACAGATCAGTCAATGTTGAAATGACTGATGATGAGAGAAGCATGCTTGTTAATGATTTGGTTCGAAAGTGTGATGAAATTCAGGCCAGATTAGTGAAGGAAATTTGTAAGCTGTTGGCTTATATTAAAATTTCATTCTAGCACTGAGAAAGGAACAAATGGATAACTTTGCACATGACGTTCTGAAACTAAAAGATGAGAAGGAATCAATTTTGGAGGAAATCAAGCAAAAGGATAAATTTATTGAAGAATTGAAGAGAAACGAACATGAGTGGAGGAATCGGATACTGGATTACGAAGAAAAGTTTGAAGCGTGTAAACAAGCCGTGAGTTGACTCGCTTTTTCGTTTTCATTTGTATACAAAGTTCCAACGTTTTCAATGCAATAAACGTACTGATTAGACATTTGTTAGTAATACGTAATCTGTTTATTGCAAATCACTGTGATAACCTTGAATTCTGAAATATGTCCCATATTCAGGCAGTGAAGGGTTATGTTACTTTTATATTTTGTTTTCATCAAGTTGACCATCGAGATCAAACGGCGAAAAATACTTGAACGCAAACTTGAAGGAAGGAGTTCTGATATGCCCAGGAATGAGGGAATCCATAATCAGACGAAAGTATGCATTATAATTTGAATAATATTGTTAATAATAGTTTTTTGATCCCAGAGCACACATAATTTAGCTCAAATTTCAATTTATGAATACGAGTTTAATAAATCTTGATAGACCGCACATTTAAAAAATAAAATATTAATAATTAATTCAGCCTACTTAACTAGGATCGAATAATTATGTGTAAGTAGAAAAAATAAGGGTGAATACAGTTTGTGCACTAAAAGTACATTATGAACTAAAAAATCGATTCTACCTGAGTACCTAATGATGGAACGAGACATTAGGGGAAAAGGGAAGAGTTTTCGCTCTAAGACATTTATTGGCATTTTAGAGGGCTACACATGTCACTGAATTTTCTGACTACATTGGAAATATTAAAAAAAATAATTATTGCTTATTGGCCAGTGTGGTAGAACATGATTTGTACAATAATGAACAACTTGATCAATAGCACTTAATCTCTCAATTTTGCAACCTACCATGCTAATGACGTGAGGTTTCAGCATACCGGTGGTGTAGAATCGTCAAGTAAATAGCCGGCAGTTGTTCTACTCGTACATAGTAAAGAATTTTTTGCATTCCTAGGAAAGTTCTATTAGAATAAGCGACTTTCCAGTGTAAATCTGAATTATGCACTGATGGGTTGCCTAAGCAAATATTTTCATTCACCGCATTCATCACAACTACTGATGTTGTTAATAAGGAAAGTGTCGTTTGAGTTAGAAGTCTTATTTTTCACACGTCTCTGAGTTTGAGTAACCCTAGCTCAATAAAGGGCAACTGAGAAACTATAACACGTACTCACACTCGGCTTAAAATTCACACAAACACCCATCTTAAAGAAAACCATGTAGCAGCTATAAAGAGTGCCTAGGTTGCCTGCTTCATATGAATTCAATTGATCTTACTTAACCTTTGAAACCGTTCTATTACCCTCCTATCTTATTCTCCCACCCCCTTAATCCCATTTCCTCTTATTCATTTCCAGTTCTTCAATAAATATGTGGTACTCACAATATTGATCTTAGCACTCGGAAAAGACCTAGCGAAATCAATATTGTTGTGGTGAGGTTTAGAAGCTCAATTCAGTGTAGCTACTAAACTAGTTCCATTAAAGAAGTTAGGGCTAATTTGAAACTTTAATAATTTTGATACCCAGTTCCATTATATTTTCGAGGATATGTCTCCAATTCCAATTCTGGCACCACAATCGACTCCACAGCCAATTAGTAATAAAATGGAGCTATACAAGTCGATTTCGGAACTCTCTAAATTGGTAAGTATTTTGAAAAGAAATTTCTGATAGTGTTAAGGGTAAATGTTAAAACATGCCCATTGGAATTTTCATCACACTACAAATACTATTTAACTGACTAATTTCATTACCATTTACACATTGATCATAAACAATCTTTTCAATGGTCCAATAAACCTATTTATTTTCATGAAGATATCGGCAGTGGCGTTGACTAGGACAATTCCATCATGGGTTTGAGATTAGTTGGGTAAAGGTGCCTGTAATCACACTGAAATAACACTCGGCACCTAGTCTTGCAATTAGACTACATTTTCCCTAAGCGACATGCCAAAATTATGTAAAAAGAGTAACCCTAGTTTCTCAATCAACTGCGTATAGATAAATGACAGTGGTAAAGACATCGGTTCTGGAAGAAGCATTTACACTCTGCCATCATTTTGCTCTTCTTTCTGCCTAGAGTTGACTTAATCAATAGGAGGAGTTAGCGCCACTTTACACTTGCTACCAAGTAAGTGAATAAGTATTGACAGTTAATGTCTCGCAAAGGTTAAGACAGCACTGGATTGCAAACAATAAAATATCTTATGCTCATTTTCAACCAAATTTACTTGGGGTATTTAAACCGAACCAAACAATGTTTACTCTACCAACTTCCATTAATAGGGAGACAAGGAAAGGGTTAAAGCATATGGTGAAGGTGATGAGTGCAAAAGTGTAGGTGTTCATATTGAATTTTAGAAACCTTAAGGTCAATATATTGGAACCTAAAAAAAGATTTTAAGGGGAGTATGGTTTAAGGTGGGGGTTGGGGGGAGGAGTAGATTCGGTAATGACAAAGATTTGAAGATGGTGAAAAAAGTGTTTTCTTCCTATTATTTCCTTACGAAATAAAGAGTTATTGAATGCAAAGTATTGCACATTTCCTTAATTACAAAAGCCTGCTACTTTTAGTTATGGAATTTATTGTTGCCAGCTAACTATTTATTGCCAAATTTAAATAAAAAAATTCCATTTCTCTTAGCAGAGATTTATATTTTTTCCACCCTGAGGTACATTTTCCTTCATCTTCTCCTTTATCGTTGGAAGCTTTATAATCTTTTCTATGGTCTTATATCTTCCTCTGCATTTAAAGGTCATCGATCAGACTGAGGAAATACGAGAACTGAAGCGCGTAGTTTACAACATACAAATGCAGGAGAAAATTGATAAAACAATGGCTTCAAACCACTTAAAAACACTAATTGAGCAATCTAATACCGACCATTCTCCACAAACTACTGTTCTTAGAAGGCGATGGAAAGGGGCGGATGGTTCAATACCTTGCGATGAGAAGAGGGTTCACGAAGAGCCAATTCAACCGGTTGAAAAGAAGAAGACTCTTCAATTTAAAAACGTCTATTAATCTTCTTCTAAAGTTTCTCTGTAAATACTCTATCTATTCAAAATTATGCATTGTGAAAATAATCTTATCATTGGAGAATGCTCCGAAGTATAAAACCCGAATAATTGTGTCCTAATGACAAATATCTTTAATGATAATGTAGCGGATTACCACAATTGTAAATTAGTAATCTCTATAGTAGGTCTTCCAGCTGGTAAGTCTCAAGAAACAAATTATGTTACTACAAGCTGTAGAAGGAATGCACGTATTACCAAGACCACGTCTATTCACACAGGATGTGGTACGCAAAGTGGACACGTGGGAAGTTTAGTCATAATCAGCATGGCGATGTGCATGCTGTTCATTTTTTAATTATAAGCACTTACATTCGAGCATCGTTAACTTAAGCCAATTAAAACATAAGTACAGTAGACAGTAAACGCAATTCCAACTTGGTGTAGGATCACGACTTTAGTTTTGATAGACATGACTGACATTAAAAGATGGAATGGTTTGTATGCAATTGTAGTTTGCTTGACAATAACTTTGGCTGGCTTTCCAGCCACCTCTGTACTGATCTAGTGATATGAGTGACTCGATTTTTCTCTATATATAGTCCCGGTTCGCACAGCCTCATTGTATTAAGTAAACAAGTGATTGATTAAACCCAGTTCAAAATCAATAAGATAAAGACTTTTAATCTCTTAGGTGACAAATATATACATTTATTTCAAATAGCAGGCGTTTTGATGGTTACCATTATCTCTTTAGCTGAATTCGGGCTTCACAGAGAGGAGGGAAAACATTAAAATGGGAAGAAGTCGAGAGGGGGGCAGAATAATGATTCACAGATGCTAAAGAGGCAAACAGACACAAGGGCAGAGAAAAGGTAAGATGAGTAATGTGAAAGGAGTCGAATATGACTTACAGTCGAGTCATGGTAGCTGGAAGTCAGAAGTCAACTGCCAGTTAATAGACATTTTGCCGTATGAGTATACGTTATCCAGGATGTACT